CTTTTCGTACACATGAAGTATGAAATGGTACACAAATTGGTGCAAGTGTGAGGTGAACTATTGTGTAGTATTGAGGAATTAAAATGACTATTGTGTAGTATTGAGGTAGTTTACTTATTTGTACGAAAAGTATCATTACTTATTGGTACTAAATGGTAGTAAATTTAGTACAATTTGGATTTTGCTTGAATGGATAGAGCTGAAAACCTGAACTCTATAATTAAGATTACTGTTGAAGATTGAGCAATAGAGACATCTTTTGAAATTCGATTTTATGTGTACAAAAATTACTAAACGGCACTGGTACAATTTGGATTGGGGTGGACGGACAGAGCTGGAAACCTAAAATTTGTAATAATGGTTGCTGTTGGAATTTGAAATTAAGATATGGAAGCATAGTACATGTGAGTACTAAAAGGTACTATATTTGGTACAACTTTATTATGTGTGAACGGATACGTCTACGAAAACTAATAAATGCTACTAAATATTTTACGATTTGGATGTTGGTGAACGGATAGAGCTGGAATCCTTAAATGAGGTCTTAAGATTATTATTGGAGTACGAAATGTTTTCATTTACTACAATTTGGACTTCGGTGAACGCGTAGAACTGGAATCCTGAAAGTTGCAACTAAGATTACTGCCGGAGTGTAGGATTGAGATAGTTTTGTAATATGGGTACGAAAAGTACTGAGTGGTGCAATATCTGGTACAATTGGGATTTTGGTGAACAGATAGAGCTGGAATTATTATATTCGGACTTACGATTACTATTTGAAAGCAGAATTGAGATAGTTTTGGAAATTCGTATTTATGATACTAAATTTGGTCTAATTTGGGTGAATGGACAGAGCTCGAATCCGGAGAGTTGGAATGTAGGTTATTATTTAAGTGTAGGATTGAGTTATGGAAATTCGAGTTTATGTGTACGAATAATACTAAATGCACTAATTTTGGAACAATTTTCATTTGGGTAACAGGGAGAGCTGGAAACTTAAAATTTGGAATAATGATTACTGTTGGAATGTAGAACTGAGATTTGGGGGGTAGTTATACGGATCTACGGTACGGTAAACCGTTCTAAACTTGGTAAATTTGATTTTGTATGAACGGATAAAGCTGAATTCCTGAGCTTTGGAATAAACATTAATGTTGAAGTGTAGGATTGAGGTAGTTTCGAAAATTCGTACTTATGGGTACGGAGAGTACTAAATTTCGTACGATTGATATATGGATATAGTCTTAAAAAGAGACATATTTTTTTAGACTCCAGTCGATCATTTATGCCAAACAAATATCTTAGGTCTGACATTAGAAGAGGACACATTATTAGACATAGAAGTGGACACATTATTAGCAATTAATCAAATCGAAGACAGCCAAAAGATCTGTATTAAAAAAATACAAATATATTTTTTATATTTACTAAATATCGAATATGCCTGAGGAGACATCGGAGAACTTTCATTGACTTTTGCGGTCTTTGACTCACTCGTCTATATTTGACTAAATGTTTCCAAAAAATATGTAGTTCAATTGGTTACTTGAAATTGTAAGCAAGGTCAAGGCACAGTAAGACAGTTGTTATTGCGCCAAACACTTGTACAAATATCGAATTATGTAAATGTAACAAGGTCTAAACATCTGAAACTTCTTATAAATAAGTTTCCGAATAAGATTGATGGCAACAGTTCTAAACAGCAAGGGCAAGACATTAACGGCTACAGAATGAAACCAACATCGGTTACATTTGTTTTCTTGCTCCTAGTTGTTTTAAACGAGACCTGCGCTAATGCTGTCAGTAAATTGCGCATAATTGGTGGAAAGAAAACGACCATAAATCAAACAAAATATATTGTATCGTTGCGTTTAAAAAATGGTGAATTCTTTTGCGGTGGAACTTTAGTGGCCAAGAGATATGTGGTAACGGCTGCACATTGCATGGAGGGTCTTACCGCGAGGGACTTTAATGTTCATGGTGGTGTCACCTATCTAAATCAGATCGGAGTTCGGCGGTCTGTTCAGAAAATAAGCATACCGAAATCATTCAATATGAAAAATGTTAATATGGATGTGGCCGTATTGAAATTAGATAAACCTATGACCGGCCGATATATTGCCCCAATTCGATTATGTTCTCATCGTATTCGTACCAACGATTGGGTTAAAGTTTCCGGTTGGGGTCTAACACATGAAAATGGTACACGACCATCAAATCAATTGCGTACCGTGAATGTGCGCATGATATCGAAACAGAAATGTAAACGAGATTATCGTAGTGTAATGCAGTTATCGCGTACAATGATGTGTGGCTCAGTACCGGGCAAAAAGGATGCTTGTTCTGGGGATTCAGGGGGACCCTTGGTGCACCGTGGCGAATTGTGTGGCATTGTTTCGTTTGGAATCGGTTGTGGTCGTAAGAATTTTCCTGGTGTTTATACGACTGTAAATCATGTAAAGAGATTTATAAGACAATCTATGAAATGATGAAATATAAATATTTGTTGTTTTATTTTTTCAAAAAAAGAATTGGTGTTTCTGGATTGATGAAAACTTATTAAACTCATTTGATATTGATAAATAAGATTTATTGGACTAATAGATGAAACTTCAATTGAAAATCAATTACTCTCAATTAGTTTGAGTTGAACGCTATTTGATTTATTGGGAGGTTTTTGAGAATTTTATGTGAATACGTTTTTTTGTTTTTGTAAAAGATATTCTCTTATTCTTCTTAAAAAAGAAAGGCTATTGGTTTGTAGACCAGTGACAGGCTTTGAAACGTACTTTTGGATGTCTTTACTGCGCTTACTGAGGGTATTTGCATGATGGAGACCTGGTTTGCATCTTTCTTAAACCTAGCCGATTAAATTTCCCGCGCTTAAGAAACATACGACTTTATCGGAGGCAAGTTTATCCATCATTAGGTAGTTTTAAAGACAAAGCGACTTTTTCGAAATCACTATTTGCCTTATTTTCGTTTAGAGGGCTATAATAGATATTATAAATTTACAAAAAAAAAAAAAAAAAAATCGACTTACCTTTATTTTTCAATTGGTTCGGAAAAACAAAGAAAATTATTATATTAATAATATAACATACATATATGGAGCACATATATAACGACAAATTAAATAAATATTAAATAAAATAAAAAATGCCAATGACAAATAACAGTATCAAGCTTGTGTTTTGGTCTACGTATAAATAAATAATAAACACTTCCTATAAATTAAGTAATTTCAATTTTTTATACACAAAACCGATGACCTACGTGGGATATAACAAATTGGATTGATTATAATGTTGTCATCCAAATCACGATTACGATTGTGGTAACGAAAGGCATTATTCATATAGGGTGCACTTTTATACAGCAACATAGACAAGCTATCTGTGCCGACAAGTATTTCTATGCGCACTACACGTAATTGAGTATTTTCCAAAAATTGTTGAGCCTCCGTGGTAAATGAGAAACTGTGATAGAATGATGGCTCCAATTTTAGATTTTGTTCATACGGCTGTTGGATATTGTTGGCGGGGTCATTGAGTTTTCGTAAAGCTAAAATATCTGAATATTTGGATATATGTGTTGGCTGTAGTTTATAGTTGTTGCTACCATCGGTTATTATCACTTGTAAATTGCGTATTTTGATTGGAACATCAGTTTGTAGTCTAAAAGTAAACAAATTTATTTTTTTTTCAATTTGATGAAAGCTATCACAAAAAGTATTTTATACCTTAGTATAATATTTAATTTGATGACATCATCATTTGTTAATTCCAACTTTTCAAATGTAGTGCAAATTTCCATAAGATCGGTAAGTTTATCCATATCAATTTGTAATGGACTTTTAACAGTTTTCAATGAATCTTCCCAACGTGCTCGTACTTCTGGCGCATTTTGATTTTGTGGTATTGGTGGTTCACCCTTTAAATAAATATTGTATTTTTTTATCAGGGAAAATTTTGAAATTTTCTTAGAAATTAACTTTAATACCTGTAAAACTTTCCATAGATTTTCCAAAACCATTACTCTTTCATTGGGAGTATATTTAATTTTGAATGACAAGGCTTCCAAGCTACATGAAATGAAATCTCGTATAGAAGCTGATAGCAGAGCACATTTCATTGTCTTAAGTAGAACATCCGAAAATAAAGAACCCCATCTATCTTGCCGATAATCCGGTAACATTAACGAATACAATCTGTAATGAAATAATGTTTAAAAACAAATTTCTTTAATTACCAAAAAAAAAAAAAAAATGACGGATTTCTTCCTATAGGAAATAATTTCACTTAAAAAATATGTATATACTTACGTTAAAGCTTTGCCATGATCACCACTTTTAAAGTACTCATCAGCCATATCAATGGCTAATTTTTTACGAAATCTCAAACATTTGTAGATTTTAAATTGAGCCATTGCCAAACTGAGAAGATTTATAATGGAACTCTAAAATGAAAAGGCATACAAAAAATAAATAGTAAAAAATAAATTTCAAAATATATTAATTTTATACCGAATGATTAAAAAGTTTTTCATTTTCCTTAATCATCGAATTGATTTGTTGTTCTGTTATGGGTTCACCAGATTTCAACGATCGTATACCGAAATATTCGGTATATAATGATGTTATATTACTGCTGCCTTGGCCATTAAAATTGTTGGCTGGCTCGGTAGGGGTTGAAGGGCCTGGCAATTAAATAAAATAATATTAACATTGATTACCATAAAGGACAACATTTTTGTGTAGATAGTTTTAAGGTTACATTTTAACAAATTACATTACCCGTGCATTGCAGAAAGGCTTCCTTTCGTTTTTGCGTATATTCGGCAGCCTTATGAAAATAAATACCCGGATGTTGTGTTTGTAATGCTGGCAGGCCATTTTTAATAGCTTCACAAAATAACTCAGCAAAAACAAAATGTCTGAAAATAATAGAAGAACATTCAATATTTCAAAAAAGTTAAATTATTATCATTGACACAACTTACTGGGTACTTAACCAAGCATAATGTTCAAATATTAAATCCTTATAACCAACACGATTTTTATATTTGTCTATGTGACTTATGAAATGATTAATTGAATCACGTGGCACTTTTAGTTTAAACATTAAACGACATATTTTGTAATTTAAGAAACCGGCAATGGTTTTTATTTCCAAATTATTGCCATCATTGATGCGTATTTCGTCGAGTGTGGTATACGATTGTGTATAATGCCTAGAATAAAGGAATTTGTTAGAAAACAAAATCTTATAAATATTAATAAAAATATTTACTTTAAAGCTGTGCTAAAATCCTGACGCATTTCAGCAACAAAACCCAATTTAAATTGATGACGTATCTTTAATGTTGTATGAGCTGCTGTCAATTGATCTCTATGTGTTCGTATACGTTTCGACATAAGTGTGTAGTATGACTGAGCCATATCCACAAAGGCAGATTCTAATCGTAAGACATAACCTGGAAAAATATATAACAGATAAATTATGTTCAATGCAAATTAGTTATAAAATAAATAATATTTAAATAAAATCGTATATTAAATATTAAAAAAAAAAACTATTTAATTAAGACGAAATTTTGTCGCGTTGACGATTTCTTAGAAGAAAGTCCAAGGGAAATTTGGATCCCAACGGAAAATTGGAAGCCCATATTTAGAGAAGTATGAACTTCTCACAAAAAAAAAAAAAAAAAATCATGAAGTAATAAAATAATTAGAAGTTTGTGATTAGGATTTCAACCGCTCAAAATTGGTACCAATATTGCATTAGTGAATTTAAAATGGCATGGGAAAATACAGGGGTTTCAGCGTAACTTTGAAGATCCATATCTCAGGAAGTATCTCTTTTCGCAAGCAAATAAATTATGTCGTTGTAATCTTTGAATTTAGGACTATATGTGGTAAACATATTCAAAACGATCCGCTACCTGGCCATAAACTTGACTACAGTACTTTTTTAGTTAACGTAAGCTAACGGAATTTAGAATTTAAAACCTTCACACACTAACATACTTACCCATTAAATGCTCGGAATGTGGTAAAATAAATAACATTTTACTGTTAATACCACATGCAGTAGTCAAGCTGGCCGCTCTTTCCGACGCCAACATATCCTCGCCAGGTGGTAATGGTGGTGATTTTTGTAAAAGCACCAAACATATGCGAGTATTACGTTCCTGTAAGGCATTCTTCAGGGTCTGTAGGGCAGCAACACATTGCAGTTGTTTCTCGGTCCATTGACTGTCGTTCCATTCTATGTCTTGAAACAAAACCACCACTGATGGAAGCACATGTAAATGTTTAAGCATCCAGTTGCGTTTTAGTATACCCTTTGGATGATACCATTCATAGGAGTTACGTTTTGGTTTGGCCACAGGAAATTCATAATTATTTGGCAACAATTTAAATTGCACCGAAGCCCTGCAACAGAGAGGCGTTACAATGCAACATGGCAATGAAGAAATTCTATTCTACACCACTTTACCTTTCAGCTTTGCGATTACTACTAAAGGCATCCCATATGGTTTTGTGTACGGCATTGCGATTGATATCGAGACCACACAATCCAATTAGAGGCTGTGGTGCCACCAACAACTCCGAAGGTAAAGACGTTGAATCAACATTCATATTAACATAAAATTACTACCCCCACAATCACTTAACGTCTAACAATATTTTAGGCTTTCTGAAGAATTGTAATTAAGATTGGAGTAGAAATTGCGCAAAGGCTCCTCCAAGGTGCAGTGAAGGAGTTGCAAAAACAACGTCGTCGTCGACACTGTGTCACAATGTTGACAAAAAATTATGACAATGAAAAAGGGTCTTGGCACAGCCCCTAAATTGCTTTGAGGGAAGCAAATACAATGCTGTGGTTACTATTTTCGAAGTGCTATCCGCTTGATGCACACAAATATTCCGAAATATTTTATTTTAAAATGGAATTAGTCTCGACATTTGTTCAAAAACAATCAAATAAACTTTTCCTTTTTGAGTTTTTTTGCACTAACTATGACGGCTATTGATTTGAGAAGTGTCACGCTGCTTCTTCTTTAAATATTTTTCCATTCACATTGAATTGTTAACATACAGTTTTCAGCTGATAAGGCAATGTTGTCAACTGGAAATATTGTACTATTGGAATACCTAATTGAAATTTCCTTTGAATTATTATAAATAAGTAAAAGAGTAATTAAGTTGGACCAGACCGCGCTTTTTATACCCTTGAACATGAGGTTGAAATTCGAAATACGTTCAGGGAGTAAATTAAATACCAAACTTAAGACAATCAGGTTAGAAAATTGGATTGGGTCAAGAACATACAGGAGATGACAAATCGAATTGGCTCTAATTTCATATTTTTCATTTGAAACTTTTTATACTCACGTATGTGGTGTAAAAAGCTTGGTCCGAAAGAACTAAACGACATATGCACTTTTTTTCAAAAATTATGTATTAGCATTTTTTACCGGGTTAACCTAATTTATTTGAAAGTTATTATGCAATAGAATTGACAATTTAAACCCACTGAGTTGACGAAATCCAGTACAATGTAAATGTACAATATTATATTTGTTAATACTATTAGCTGTTAATTTTTTAAGTAATAAAACCTTAAATATTTTTAATCTTAAAAAAACTATTTCACACAAAATGAAATTTTTGTTATACCACCCTGCCATCTACATCTCATTTTATGCCTATGAAATTCCCTTTCCTATTATATTTATGTCTTTGCTATCAAATTAGTTCAATTTTAAAATATAGGGGGATCCGCAATACTGTTCTGCTAGTTAGTTTAGAAAATGAACATAAGATGTCGCTCCTTATGTTCATTTTATTAACTAAATTATAATGTCGTTATTACACGTAGACCGGTAATGGGGTCGGTGTATAAACATAGTCATAAATATATAATAGAAATATATAAGAAATATTTTGATTCAAAATGTGGTAAATATTTTTAAATATATATGGTAATATATTACTTTTTTAATAGTAAATATACCATAATTAGAGATGGCAATACTTCAAAATCAACATAACAGCCAATCAGAAGTAGGAATTTCTGTTTACCAAATTTCTCGAGTAAAAAATTATACAAAGAGACCGCCATTGTGTTCTGCGCTCTCTTAAATTTGATTCAATGTTTTACCTGTTTTGTGTGTTCAAGAACTGTTTTCGAGTAAAAAGTAAATTAGTAAAATTAGTAGATTATTTTAGGTTCTGGAAGGAACTATAAAAAGAACATCAAAAGCGATCGATTGACATGATATGCAGAATATCCTCTGAGCTCATTATTGTATTTCATACAAATTTCCTTAATGTCTGTTCGCGAACCTGCAAATTTATACGTAAATAAAACACATAAAACTATTTTTTTTTCATGATATGTGTGAGGCACTAAATCATTGAAACCCATGGGAAATTTAAGCATTGCATATTTTGAGGTAATTTTCGACAACTTTTTGTCACCTATTGGGCGGTATCACAACCAGTGCTAAACATGGACTTTTGCGTAGTCCCATCAAAAGAAAAATAGTTTAACAACTTGTTATGACAGATGTTGAATTTCAGTACCATTCTTTCAAAACCATGAAATGGATAACCCGGTATATAGACATATCGGTATGTTTTAATCTCTCTAGCCTTTAAACAAGTTTTATGCTTTTCAAATTTCATTCCATTTCATGTAAATGGCTCATAGAGACAATATGTCTGTCCAATTGATATGAAATTTTGCATTGGAGAACCGATTAAAATGGCGAGAGATATAGCTTTCATTTGCATATACAGTATGTCAAGAATCAGTTTACACATGGGTACTTATTAAACATGATCAAATGTGAAATGATGAATATCGGTCAATAATTAGAGGTTCAAATTGGCCCTGACTGAGAAAAATTACAAAATTTGTATTGTAGAGGCCATTATTACATGCACAACATCACATATTTTACACGGCGTAGTGGGTTAGACCTACTACTTAGAATGTCTGTTTAGATGATGATCGGTCAATATTCATAGGGTCAAATCAACAAAAACCTAAGGTGACCAACATTTTTTGGCGTAATTATTCACCTTGGGAAAACATGCTTTGGAAAATATGTCAGGGTTAGAAAGTGGATCTGTGGACTTATAATCGACCAAGAGGTTGTAAATATTGCGAAATATTGCCAGTCTCAGAATATAGAACAGCAGAATGTTAGATTTGTGTATGTTATTATATGGTCGTACCCGTTGACTATACTGCTCCTCTCAGCGGTTAGACATTTATTTGTTATTTATCATAATCGTGTTTTGCTTTTTTATATTGGTATGCACTATATGAAGATAAAAGTGCATTTATATTTACGAAGTCCACTCGATCTGAAATGTCAATTTCATAGCTTATACGTCAAATATAATCCACTGGATTTGTGAATACGATTACGTATACTTCAAGGAATTGGAGTATCAAATCCAATGGATTTTGTAGTCTAAACGCCTGTTCTACTCTTTTTGCCTATATTGGGAATCATTTGATAACAAAATTTGTAAGCGTGCTGTTGCGCACCTTGAAATAGGGTTTAAAAAATGCCAGGCCAAAAGATTATTTTATTATGTAATTCATTTGTTATATTGCAGCCGCCAGTTGGGGAAAAGTTAGACAAACGACAACTTAGACAAAAGACAACTTACAATCTATTAAATCGAGCAGAAAACGAGGAAAGATCGAAGATAAAACACGGAGAGTGTCCGAAGTACAAAATTAATAAGCATACTCAGCACATAATTATTAGAAAACCTATCATATGCACGCTACTTCGTTAGCGAATGTGGGAATTATTTAAAAACCAATACCGACCATAATTAAAATTTTAGTATGTTCTCTTATAGTAAGTATTTTACAAAAGCACCTCCATATCTCAATCCTACACACCAATTCTGACCGCAACAGAAATCTTTGTACTCTTGTAATATTTATTTCGAAAAAAAAATCAAATTTCAAGTACAGGTTCTCTCAAATCTAAATTTAGTATCAGTTAATACACATTAATATAAACCTCCATAACTACCTACGAATTTACAAAATAACCCAATCTTAATTCCAAAACACAAGATTCCACCTCTATCGGTTCACCTAAATCCAAATTATATAAAATTTAGTATCAGTTAGTACACATACGTACAAATTTCCATTACTACCTATATCATACAATCCAATGGAAATCTTATTTCCCAATTTCAGAATTCAAACCCAAATCCAAATTTGGTACCATTTAGTACACAATAGTATGAATTTCCAAAAATTCCTGCATAACTAAAATCCTACACCCCCCCAACAATGATCCTAACTCCAAAGTTCAGCATCAGACCTCTGTCGGTTAATCAAAAATTCAAATTGTACCAAAATTAGTACCATTAAGTACACATAAGTATGAATCTCCAAAACTACATCCATACCCCAATCATATACTTCAAAAAAAATCTTATTTCTAAATTTCAATTTTCCAGCTCCATCGGTTTACTCTATGCCAAATTGTACCAATTATAGTACGATTTAGTACTTTTTGTACACATGTGCAAAAAATTTCCAAAACTACCTACACAGTCTAATCCCATATTCCGACGGTAATGTAATTTCAAATTTCAGGATTCCAGCTGCATAATTTTCTCCAAATTTAAATGGTACCAAATTTGGTATTGTTTAGTGCTTTTCGTGTACATGAGTATACACTTCCAAAAGCGCATCTTTATATCGACCCTACTTCTCAACCTTGATTCGCATTCCAATTTTTAGTCTCTATCCGTTCTCATGCTACGAAATTGTGCCAAATTTAGTACATTTCAGTACAATAAAATTAAAAAAAAAATAAACCAGTGAGCGAAGCAGTACAGTCGGACGGGCCGACCATATGATAACCTACACACTTCTATTTGACCCGCTAAATATTGACCGATCTTTATCAAAACAGGCATGCTTATTCTTTGGCCCGATTCCCTTCTCCATGCGCCCTCTGTAGCGACCAGAAAATCTGACAAAATAAAGTTTTAGGTCCATTTAAATTTAGCCGATCTTTACCAAAAACAATAATGCCAGAACCCATCCTACATGCAAAATTTCGTGAAGATTGGTCCATAACTGGTGTGAATCGTGTTTACAAATTATAATGGACAACGGACGGACACACATGTCTAAATCTACTCAACTAGTCGAGATATGACGATCGGTATACTTAAAGGTGGGTCTACGACCAATATCTATATATATAAAAGAGCTTAGTGTTAAGTCAGTGAGTGGCTGAGTGACTGACAGATCATCGCCCAGACGAAACGGCTAAAGCTTGAAATTTTGAATGTAGGTTGCTGTTGGTGTGTAGGCGTGAGATAAGGCTGGGTTTTTGGAAATTCGAACTAGAAGGGTACGAAAAGTTCTAAAAAGTACCAAATATTGTACCCTTTGTATTAGGCGAACGGGAAGAGCTAGAACTCTGAAATTTGGCATGTGGGTCACTGATGGAAAGTTGTACAAAAGGGTTTTTGGAAATTCGATCTTTAAGTGTACTAAAAGTACTAAACTTTACTAAATTTAGTTCTAAATTTGGTACTATTTGCATTTAGTTGAGTGTATAAAGATGGAATGCTGAAAATAGAAATTG